AAAAAACAAAATAAGTTTTTCTTGGTACCGTTATGAAAATGTCAATAAACTATCCACGAGCGAAAAAAGAACTCTTTTAAAAGTAAAAGAACACAAAATGAAATAAAAATAAACAAAAGAAAAAAACACAAAATAAAGAGAGACAAAGAGTGAAAAATAAAAAGTGATGAGAAATCAAATGCTTAAAAAGAAAGAAAAAAACAAAACAAAAAATGAATAACAGAGAAAATTCCAGAAATAAAAGTAAAGCTTAAATAAAAAACCGTTTTATTTTTTTGCTTTTTGTTTTTGTTTGTAAAGAAAAAATACATAGTAAAATATAGCAATGTAAATATGTAACGTACATATGTACATGTAATTATACATCTACTGTTTAGCAGCGAACAAAAGTACCTGAACCACAACACCTTCTATTCTAAAAGATTAATTATTATTCTCATATTATTGTTGGTATAATTCAGGCACTGTTTTGAAACTAATAAAGTTAATAACAAATTCTTTAATAAGTGTTTTTTAAACTAGTAAACAATATCGTGGAGCACGTACATACATATGTAGTTCTTTGAACATGATTTACTAAATAAATAACTGTTTCAAATTAGACAACAATAAAATAGAAATTAATTACGGATTTATATACTTTCTATTGTAATTGTACAAAAGAACATACTTAAGGTTTGTTCACAATATTTGTATGTAGAGCTTCTTAAAATAAAGGGTTGTGAAAATCAAAAAAACGAATCTAGAATTTCATGAGTTGTTCATTATATTGAGTTTTCACTGTATAATGCGTATACATAGTAAAATTTTTAAGTTTTTACGGCATATTGCTGTATACGCGGTATATGAGTTCGCTTCAATAAAAGTAAAGTTGGGAGTTGAATTATTTTTTGGGAAGAATGAAAGTAACTTTTCATATAATCAAATATATTTTTACTCAGAATTTTCTTCTTCTTTACTTTCTGTTATTTATAATGATTTTCTTTTATATTACATGCATAATATCGATTACGTGATTATTTCTACCACATACCGTTACATTAGATATCGTTTTTATTTTGATGCAATACAACATGCATTTTAATTCAACTTCATTGTTTCAAAAGGTTTGTTGCTCCTTAATGTTTGAAAATATATAATGGTATTAAAATAAAAACAAACAAAATAGAATGACTAACCAAGATATTTCAAGAATATTTATGTTACGTATTAAAATTTTTTTAATACCTAATTTTATTTCTTAATATAAATTATATATGTGTATGTGCATAAATATATGTATGTATATGCATCTTATATAAATAAGCATTTATTTCATACTTAAGTGTCGTATGTGTATTTTTTTGAATAATATTATTCGTTATGTATGAAATCGATCGAGATTTTAGTGTAGTCAGTAAAAGAACGTTTGCAGTTGTGTTATTCCAGAATAAAAGTTCGAAAAGAAGAAAAAATACTTTAATAATATTTAATTCTAATTATGGTAAGCATTTTCTCTGTTTTTATATTTTATTATGTTTTAAATGCAAATTCAAAAAACAAAAATTACTTTTTTTTTCCCATATTTTAGTAATTATATAATTTTCTATGGTCAACTTAACAGATCAACAAAAGGAAAGTAAGAAAGATCTGCACTGAAATATGTTGATCATGCAAGATATCACGTTTACAATTTTAAACAAAATATTCTTGAGTAAATGCAAAGTATCTTTATAAGACGGTAAATTTATAAAAATTTTTTTCTAAAAATGTTAGTATTTTATGATAAATATGGATTGAAATCTGAATTCAATGTACATATATAAATTATATGCCTTTAAGAACTTTAGTCTAGACGTAAGACTCTCAAGTTAAAAATTTTTTTAAATGTACATACGAGTAATAAAACAAAGTCAATTAAGTGTTTAGAAATTAATTTCCCTCCTCTTTCAAAACAAGAAAGATGTTAATTAAAAGGGCTAAAATAAAAATAATTTTGATATAAATTACTATATTCTTAATAGAATTAAAAGTAAATCTGTGCACGCGAATTTCACTAACCAAGATTTAGTAAACCAATCACAGATAAATTTGAATGGTGCTAGAATATCAATCCAATATATAACTACTGGCTCCTAGGTCGAAGGTCTAAATTAAAAACATACAATAACAAGGTGTTTCTAAATGTAGTGGGTGTTTCCTAGTATGTGTGCAATAGAGATTCGAACTAAATGATGAATTAAGGAACTAATATAGGCACAAAAAACACGATAGAGTAAAATTAATTGCTAGTCAGTTGCAATGGTTTTAGGAAATTGTGATCACTTAAAAAAAGATGTTTAGATATTTTTCTTGATATTTAGACTTCTGTTTTAAATAGTTAATTGTTATAGAAAGTATTGGTACTAATTTTATTTCTGCACTCGTTTCTCACTACATTTTTTTTTCTATCAGTGGGAATAAGAATATTTAAGATACCCATATAAATATTTCGGAATTGAAAATTGGAAACAAAAAAATCTTTTTGATAAACTAAAAATGAAAATTAGAACGAAAACGAGAAAAGAATTTCCACTTATTAAACATATATACACAAACAGTTCTTCATGAATAATTCAAGAAAGCTTATAAATAGTGTAACATATTTATGTAATACCGATTAAATTTTCATAATTCTTTTTACAAAAACAAATTTAAATGAAAAAAAAATTTACGAAATCTATTGTTTTTTTAACTTTAATAAAAAATAACTATATTCGTTTTTTTTATAAAAATCTATAAGTTAAATAATATCTTACTTAAAGAAAATTCTACTTAGAAAAAAAATTGTTCCTAACCAAAATAAGAATATGGGAGCTTATTTGAATTTCATTTATACGGACACTATACGGACATTGTACATACATTATATACGTGTATAACTTTAATTTATTCCGGGTGAAATGAACTTTATTCGTTCATAATATGTGTTATATCACAATAAATAGCGTGGAGAGAAGACGAGAATTCAAGCATTATCAAATAATATTAAATAATAAAGAAGAAAAATAAATATGCACATAAAAAACCAAATACATATATATATATATACATATATTATTAACAATATAGAATTTAGGACAAACCAAAGTTTTTATTCATGCACATTCATACATAATTAAGATTCTAGAATAAGATTGTAATAAAATCCTTTATTTAATATACATATATGTAATTTGTTGCGATAAGAATATTTTCGTAAAAAAGTAGCATTTCAAAATAAATCAGGTCACATCAAATAAATTTTTTTTTCCAACTAAATTTGTTTATACAAAAATTATAATATATTTGTTTTTGTTTATTTGTTTTTAATTTACGAATTTTTACAATCTAAATTACTATGAGAACTTTTTAGATTTTTAGAGAGATTCATTTAAAAAAGAATTTGCAAATTTATACTAGATTTTTATATTGATTTTTCTTTAAAAAAAATTCATTTTCATAGAATTTACTTATAGAAGAACTATAAGAAATTTTACAGTTTACATAAATACAGGTATTGCCCATATACGTTAACATTATGGTATTGCATATATAAAATTATCAAGTTTCTTAAATTAAGCATTGAAGTCTTTCATATTTGGATTAATAATTCAAGTCTTTCATGCCTGTGACGAAATAAAAAAGGTAAATAAGGAGTATGTATATTTTTTTTGTAAAAATAATTATTTAAATTATAATTAATTAATGCTCAAGTTTTGCACCTGTTATCAAGTTCAAATCTTGGATAACACATAAGTTTTAAATCTCTTACTTTAATTTGAATCTGAATAAGAAAAGTCGTAATTCTAAGAGACATTACGAGTAGTAGATAACAAAGTACTTGTTACTCAATTTTCTTAAAGAAAATTTTTGGTAAATATTCAAATTTAACTTTTTGAGTATGCCCTAGTTTGTCTAATTAAAGTTAAGCACATACATAGTTATTTTAACTATAATATATAAGTTATTGTAAAGCAATTGTTGTAAATGAGATTAAAATATGTTTGGGATGCTATGATTTTATGAATTGAATTTAAGGTGACAATGTTTTCATAATTCATAAAATGGTGCTATAGCAAATAGGTTCCTAGTTCAGAGTTCTTTCTTTCTTGGAATTTTTCAATTACATGCTGTTGTCGAAGTGGGATACTCAAAGTGGTGGGATGGTAAAAAAAAAAATAAAAAAAAAAAAGTATTATTTTAGTTATTTTTTAAAAAAATAACTAAACAAAATTTACCAAACTTTGGAAGTAAACTAACGAGAATATTTATATTCAAAATTAAATCAACTAAAAATTGAATCAACTAAAAATTGAATCAAAAACTGTGCAAATTGTTACCAAAGAAATGCATAGACTATGTAGTAACGAAAATTTCATTAATAGAAAAAAATTATACGTTACTATTTGAAATTGGTCTTATTTAAAATTACATATATTTAATTTTTTGTTAAAAAAACTTTAAAATTCATTAGAAAATTTTCCGGAACGCATTTTTCTCTCCTATTAAGTAGTGGGATGGATTTCCAATTATTTAAAAGTACTGGGATGGCATCCCACTCCATCCCGCCTCACTTCGAGCACTGATTACAAGTAAAAACTAAATTTTATTATTAAATATAGATGAAATGAAACTATTTTTACTTCATCCAAATTCGAAATATCTTTCAAATAAAAAATTTTACTTAGTGAGTCAGTAAAAGTTACATTTTGAGGAAAATTCGAAGATATTCTTGTAAGTTAAATAGTCAACCAGAACCTAACTTAAATGTTAAATGTATAAATTGTGAAAATTTTTCAAAATAAAAGAAAAATGCTATTTAATTTTAAGTAATCTTTATTTAAAAACATATATATATGTATAATGTTTTTCATAATATATACCATTAAATACTGATTAATTGTAAAATTATGTAATTTTTTTGCTTTATAATGTAAAAAAAATAATTATAATTTATTCTTAAAGTGAAAATGCTGATATATTTAAAAAAAAAATAAAACGATGAAACTTAAAAATCTTAATAATAAAAAAAAGATTAAAGTAAAATGGAATACGTTTAATATAATTTATTATTGCTATGCGTATTTTATTATATATTCAAATATCAATATCTAAAATATATATATAATTAATAAAAAAAAGATAATTTTGAGTGAATGTACTAAGATGAAATTGTTTTTCAAGTTTTTTAATGTGCAAATATTTCAATTTTATAAATCCATTTTTGGTTTAGTAATAATTAATAAAAAAAATGGAAGATTACATTAATTAGGCTCAAAGTTTGAAATAGAAATTTTGTCAAAGCAATTTCTAATATTATTTTATTCTTCGTTTTCAAAATTCGATTCATTAATTTACATTTTTTTCATATTTAGTTGAAATATGTATTTATTAATCAACTTATATTTTTATATTGACTCTATTCATTGTGTAGTTCACTTTTTGAGATTTCCTCTTTTGAAAACGTGTTTTGAATTCTCACCTTTTTTTTAATTCTAGATATTTAACTTTTGATAAATATTAATTTTAGATAGCGAAACGATACTTAATTTCTATTAGTTATATTTTTTTAAGAAATTACTTTTTTAATTTTCAATTTTAATTATAATGTATTAAATTATTTTTTGTTTCATAACAATGTCATTTTATACTGCATCTGTTGGGCTTTGGAATTCGGAAAGAGCATGAATTGGATTCTGAACCTTTTTCTGTGAGCCCTTACGTACTTTAGCTCGCACTTCTTCGGGTTTTTCTGGTCTTACTAATGGTTTTTTTTCTGGTGCTTTCATTTTCCAGACAACGATAGGTGACTGAAAGTAATTATTTTTTATTATAAAATTAGATTTTTGAATATAACATTAAGTTTACATAAATAAAGAATAGGAGCCAACATTACAAATTAACAGTATTAATAATAACCAAATATAACTTTTTCTTAAATAAAAAAATATAGTAATAACTTATAATAAACTTATTTTTCAAATATTTCACTAAAAATAGTACAAGTTATAACATTTAATATATATAATATAAGTACAAAATTAAATTAAAAAAATATTCCACAAAAAATTTAAATTATGAGTTTTTAAAATTTGATAAACGTAATTATTTACAAAAAAAAAAATTTTTGGAAATTTTTGAAGTATTTTACTTTACAGTTTCAAACATTTAATTTTCAATGCGATTTTTCAATGATTTAGTTATTGGCAAATGATTACATATTATGTGCACAAAAATTTTTATCTTATTGCCGTGTTGTATAGAATATTCTTTTGGATTTCTTAAAAAAAAATATATAATACACTTTGCAGAAATATTAATTGAAATTCAATAAAATGAAAAAGAAAAAATGTTTATTTCTTTTGTTTAATTTATAAACCCAATTTGTGTTTTGCTATATTTGAAGATATAAAAGATGTTCAATATAAAACCTTGTATAAAATGTTCGTTTTTAATGTATCATATTTTGTTCAAAACTGAAAAACATCGTATTCTTACTGTGCATGCAAATAAATTAAATTTATCTTAGGAAGTGCTAGTTAATGTTATAGTAATAGAACTTCTATAAAAATACACTTAACAAATTTTTTACATGTTTTTGTTCTATTATACTCACATGGTTCTTAATAATTTTAAATTTTCAATTATTATTCCAATTTAAATATTTTTGATCCCCATTGATGGGATAAAATTGCGAAATAATATTTATTTATATAAGGTGGAATAAATTATTAAAGTTTTATAAATTTTGAATAATATACTTACGGCAACAGTTCCTTGGCGTGTATATTTTGTGGACGCAACATATGAATATTTTACTGTTAAAACAACTGCATTCATTAAATTTTTGGCCGCCTGAATCAAGGATGTTGCGCTATCCAGCTTAAAGTATTTATATTATTTATAGTAATTAAAAATAAATAAATACAATTTCCAAAATTTTAAAATTAGAAAATAAAGGAAATTTATTTACCCCAGATACAATTAGTTCTCCACTTATGTTTTGAACATCAGCTTTAACTTTGGATGTTATCTGAATCTGATGGCAATATAAAGCAATCCGTTGTAAATAAGCTAATAAATCTTTTTTGGTACTGCTCTCAGGACATTGTTCTGCTATTTCACGAGTTAGCTTATCTAATTTTGTACCAGCTTCAGAAATTTTTTTGGCAGCGTTGATAACATCCATTGTAGTTTTTAAAGGACCTCGTCCACTGCAATTATTGTTAATATTAAAACTTAGTTTTATAAAGCAGTAATTCTACAAAAAAAAGAAATGTGTACCGGGTAAAATCTGTCATTTCCATCATAATCATACACATATGTTTGGCAAGGAAGATGATATCGTTTCCAGTATCATCCCATTTGGCAACTTCGGAATCAAATGTTAATTTCTCCCGACGGAATAGTTCAACTTGCTGAGCAATTTTTTGTTTGTCTTCTTCAGTCATTTTACGCATAGCTTCTCTAGCAGTGCAAATTCCACTAATATCTGGGTATTCATCGACGGTTTGATCACCAGTATGAGCACTCGCTATAAAAATTTTTATTTTAGTGCGCAAATAACATTTTAACAAAAAAAAAATTGAAAATGAAAAAGCAAAATGATTGATTGAAAAAAAAAACACTTATAAAAAAACAAAAACAAGCTAAATTCATACATCGACTTCGAGTTTCCAAGGTCATGTCTTCAACCGGTTCAAATTCAGTATCAGTGTCTAAATCTTCCGAACTCTGTAAGTAACACAAATATCATGCAAACAAAACATAATGAAAATAAAAACAACACAAAGAGAAAATACAATAGCAAAATATGTGAAAACTATAATCAAAACTAAAAAGAATGACGTTTCAATACTCAAATCAAATGAACACCAAAATTATTAAAAAAAGTTCTTTTTTTCTTTTTCTTACATTTACTACGAGTTTCGGTAGTATAGTGTTCATCAAATTCAACATCTTCCGGATCTAGTTCCTCTTCATTCTTTTTAATAATTACATTTGAAAAATTTATGTTTTAAAACAATTTTAGTTTTATTCAATCCTTTTTTTCTTACCCTATTCATAAGTACAGCACGTCGGATTTCCCGCACCCCATCATAAACAAGGCGAGATGCGTCAATAAAATCATTTTCGTCTACATCCTTTTGTGAATTTGAAGCTAAAGCATCGACAGCAGCGTCAACTCGTTGAGCAAATTTTGACATAACTAAAAAAATATATTAGGAATTTATATAATGAAAAAAGCAAAAGGGGAAAAATATGCTTTTATTTATATACCTTGATCCCGTAAAACTTTAACAGCTTCTAAAACTCTTTTGGTGTAAATACATGGCTCATAGTTATCCATTTCAGCTTCCACTACATTGCAAACTCTAGCCGAACGACCTTGAATAGCTCCCGCGGTATTACGTAAATCAGCAGCGTCGCCTTCTTGTAAAGCCATTACACACTTGTTAACATCTTCAAGAATGTGGTTTTCAGAAACAGCCAAGAAATCGTCAATTGTAGTAATATCGTCGACAGCTTCTGTTAAAATTCGAACTTGATTTTCCCAAGCTAAGCGGTAAGCTTCCATATTTTCTTGAGCAACTTTTGAATTAGGCCGAGCAACAAGAATCATGGCAGCATTAATAACCTGCGGGCACAAATTTTCAATTTGAGCAGCTGCATAACGCACCATTTTGACCCCATCTTCATTATTTGACATGCTACACACTAAATTGGCCACTTCCACTAATTTTTCAGCGTGTTTTGTAAAAATGTCAGCTTTTTCACGAACTTTTTTTTCGTTACCACTTTTCGCAGTTTCAATTAGATCTATTAAAGGTGTAGTTGTTTCCAAAAATGAATCGGATACATGATCTACCACTGCTTTACGTAGTTGACGACGTAAGTCTCGAGTTTTTCTACACATTTGATCTATAGCACGCTCTAGACCAGGAGTCTGTTCTTTTTGCCCCATCTACAAAAATTTAATACGTATTAAATTTTAAATAATAAAAGAGCTAGATGTATAAATAAAGGATACTAAAAGAAAAAACCAATTTTGAAATTTCTTTCAATTCAACTAAATACTTGTACTTTGTTAATTATTTACTTTCTCATTTAAATTTATTACTTTTTCTTACTAGTGTTTATTCAAAAAGAATGTGTTACACTATTTAATTCCTAAAAATTTACTCATTATATGTTTTTATGTAGATAGATTCATTTATTTACTTTGCATACAAGAGCATGTGTGTCTACATATAACAATATTTTGTATGAATACTTAAGTATCCAAGTGAAGTTGTATTTTGTAGGCCATTTTGATATTATAAGGTTCCTATTAAATATTAGTTATTTTGTATAATTTTAGGAGAGAAAGATAAATTACATATACATATGTATTTGTATCAGATCGCCGTAACTTTCGAAAAATGGATTTCATCAAAAAAAAAAAAACATTTGCAGATTAAAAAGTCTCACTATAATACAAATTTTGAATTCCTCTGATTGTAACCTAAATTTTGAAGTGACATAATTGTAACCTTTAACATTTATTAATTATATTATGTTTTTAATAGCCAATGTAACGTATTGTTGAGTAAAGGATCTAATTTATAATTGTTTTTATCATTTGTTTTTTAAAAATCTATATAGGTTTTGCTTTTAAATTTTGATTCACGCGCACATGTTAATTGTATGAATCAGTTTCAATTATTACTTCTTTGATATGATATCAATTTTCTAAATACATCAGCGCCCGACCCAAGTCTACATATAGTATTAAGAAAACAATGCTTTTTAAAAGGACGAAACAAAGTTTGGAGTGATTTAAATGAAAACTTGTTAGAATGTAAAACTTCGTATTAAAATTAACATTCAGTGGTTTAAATTAAAAAAAAACTAGGATATTTAACAGCAGAGTAGTTACTCACAACAGATAAGCATTTTTTGGTTTTACTGTCAGAGCTGTTAAAAATAAATGAGTATAGTAGTTTCAAAAACGACTTTTCCATTTTTTAAACTGGTATTTATTATTAGATTTGTTCATTGGCAATAATTCTAAAAATTGGGAGCCTTTTAAAGAATTGTGATCGGATATTAACGGTTTTAAATACATTGGATATTACTGACTTTGATGGTTTACTAGATTAGATCAATTTGTAATCAATTAAATGAGTATGCAACGCCGAATGTGAGGCGAGTATAATTTATGAAATTAATTCAAGAAATTTACTCTAACATTACAAAATACAGTGGAGTTTTTTTCTTTGCAAAAATAAATGGAAAACCCGCTTATTGAAACTTCCATGCTCACAAATGACATATGAATCGTAAAAGCTTTGGAAAAGATTACTAACTACAAGTGGATTTTTTTAGCGAATTTCAACTAGCAATACTTCTACGTTATGGTAATTTACACACAAAATAAATTTTCTATTTCATATTTACCCATTTTCTAGAACGCACGATAATTAACTTAAGTGTTAAAAAACAAAAAAATATTAAAATTTTTATTGTCGAACAATGTATGTAGTAAGAAATTTTAAAATATTTACGTTTGCCATGTATTCCGAAAGTAAATCTTGCAGAGCTTGGCGAACGGCGTTACATTCAGCGACTATACGTTCCCTTCTTTCATCACGAGTACAATCAGCATCAGCCATTAAAGCAGCGGCGCTAATAATGCTTTCCAATCTTTCTTCAAGTAATTGTCTTGATCTTTTCTCGCTGTAAGTCATGGGGTCCATGATAATACCCTCCTAAAAACATATGAAATTGTAAAAAATTTGTAAACTTTCGGAATTCATTTTTAAATACATCAAAATCATCTAAAGCTGCAGCTAGCTCCCCAGCGCCGCTATAAATGTCGGTAGGTTGCGAAGATTTCCCTTGAGCCACATCACTTATTGTATTTACAGCTTCACATACTTGTTTCAAAACATAATCGCGATTAACTTTGGCCAAATCTAGCTCAGGATGACGCACATATACTTTGGATGCTGTCAACAACATTGTTGAGTGTTTTTTCAAAATAGCACGGGCTGCCGCTAAGTCGTCTCGTAGTTGTGGATCTTTTAATTCTTGTTGCCGTTTTGCAGCTTGTTTTATTAATTCATTTGCATTTCTTCCAAATTGCTAAAATTGATTAAAATATTAAAATGTTTCAAGAATATAAAGTCATATTACTCTCATGTTGTTTAATAATTCGTCCTGACTTGAAGCATTTTTTAACTTATTTAAATCGTCTTCCACTACATGTAGCGATTTCAATAGTAAATGAACATCTACCATATCAGCCAGTATAAGCAAACGTGTTACAGCAGATAAAAGATTACGAGCTGCTCGCACCATGTTACTGCGTTTTATAGAACTACATGGATCTTCAGAAAACTCTCTAGCAGCAATGCTCATTCCTTCACCAGTTTTGCGTACTTCATCTACTGCTGTCAACATTTCTTGTGTTATGTCGGGGTTTTCATAAGCGATTTGCTCACCTTTTTCAATAAAGTTTTCGGTGGCTTTTTCGACAGCAGCGACTAGTGCACTTGCTCTCTTAGATTTTCCTGAAATCGCATATAAAAAGTCGAATAGAAAATTATTGTTTCAAACAGATACATACAAATATAATATTTAAAGTGACAATAACAATAAAAAATCGAAATGTTTTTTTTTATATTTTATTTGTATAAAGCTAAAATCAATGACCGTAACCAATTCTATTCATATCATGTTTAACTTTTTATTTCTTTTTAAATATGGCAATTAACAATACATTCACATAATTTTTCTAATTTAAATCGTACATTTGAATAAATTCTTTTTAATTGGTGACTAATCCAACAAAAACATTACTTTTATTCAGACATTTTAATAATACAACGGGGTGGGGTAATTTTTTTCTTAATATTGAACTTACCTTTTTTCTTTTTACTAGGACCTTTCGTATTATTTACGAGAGTAGTTACTTGTAAAACAAGTGGTTCTAGAGTTTTCTCAACTGACATAGTTCGAATTTCCAAATTTTTTGGATCCCATTTTAAAGCAATTTGGCCAAATTCAGATATAGTACCCATTTTTACTAAAATTTTGTAGCTCAAATTTACCAAATTGTTTGTTTTCAATTTTAACGAAAATGTTTTATTAATACGATGCAATATTTCACTTTAAAAGCGCTAATTGAGCTAATTATCCACAATTTAATAATTAAATGTAATAAGATAAAAATATTATAATTTTTAAATTCAATACCAAAGATACAACTTTTCCATTCTTTTTAGTTTAATGTGTAACAATCGGTGTTACCAGAAGAACATAAAAAGCTGTTACCAAAAAATGTATTTAAACCAAGATACAACGACACAAGCCAGCTTTGAATTTTTAACTTTCAATTATGTAACTTTTGACAAAAGACTTCAAAAATTAGTGAACTTTTGATTAATTTAATAGAAATTAAATATAAAATTTAATAAAGTTTTATAAGTTCTATTAAAATTTAGTTCTCAAAATATATCTATAATAGGGGTTACAGTCCATTAAAAAAAATGAAAAAAAAAAGAAATCTGGTAACTATTATGAAAATTTAAATGTCAAATTGAAATTGACAATTTTAAAGAAAATACTACTTACGCGTTGTAGCATGTAGTCGTGTTTTATGCGGTTTGTGTACTTGCTTATTTTGTTGTAATGCTACATTATTAGATGATTTTGTCTATGTTAGATATGTTGTATCGTAAATTTTTATCTTAAATGTTAATATGAGATTAAATTTGCAATAAAACAAACAGTTTAATAGTTAACCGTTAGTTTTAAAAAAGTTTCGGCAAATGTATGCATTTATGTAATTGTAAATATCGATTTTATTTTGTAGAATTACGATGTAAATTAAATTTGAGTAAACTGATAATTCGTGTAAAATATTGCAACATTACTTTATTAATGGAATATGCAAATGGAATTTTGTGTTCATTTTAAGCAAAAAGAATGGCGATTTATAGTAATTTCATTAAGTTTACAAACACAAAATTGTATTAAAAAAATTAGGTACATATATTGCAGACTACACATTTGATAGGTTTGTTATTCTTACTTTGTTACAAACAAATTTATGCGGAGAAAATTCTATTATAAAACTTGTACCTATTTTCAATTAATTATAATTTTGTATTTTACAATATTAAAACTCTTTTGTTGAAATCTCTTACGCCGTTGAAATTTGCCTGGCAAAGCCTGTTTTTTGAAGAACAAATTGTTATATGTCATTTAACCTGCAACATTTTTCGATGAATTAAAAAATAAAACATAGACATTTATTATGTAAGTTATAAAAAATAATAAATTTTATTATTTTGTTCAGTCTTATAATTATACAATAATTTTTTTTTTTACTTATTTTTTTTTCTCAAATAAAATGTATATAAGCCATAAATTTTTACATAAAAAAACATTTTGTAATGTCTATAATTATGCTTGTGTTTAAATCTTAATTGTAGGCATATTTATTACGTTAATTTATATTATAATAATTAAAATGAGATGTGAAATAATTCGTTTTTCAAAACAATGCGTTTACATTTTGTTAGAAATTATTTTGCATTATATATTTTATAATATTTTGTATAATAAATATTTTGAAAACGAATTTTATATTTATTTTAGGTATAGTTTAATTACTTTTTTTTCATTTTTAAATTTTTTGTTAATATAAAAAATTAAGAATCACAAGAAAAAAAAAAGAAATATTTAAATAATAAGTATTTGCAAAAAACCTGTAGAAAAATATTTATTCTATATTAAATTGATGAGATTATTTTCATTATTTTCTTATATAGACTGAATTTATATTTATAATTTTTAATTTCAAAATGATTAATCATTTTAAGGTCATTTGTAAATTTAACATTTTTATTTTATTTTCTTTTTTCTTTTTGTAAGGCATAAAGGATTCGTGTGTAATGAATTCATTTTTAATCTCCAATAGGCCTCGTTCACTTTTTTATATTAATGTTTCGATGCGTTGCAAATAATATAAATATTATTGAATGTACGATACATTTTTAAGACGCAAAATAACTAAATTTTAATTTTATAAATTTTCAAAATCAAAGTTTCGTAACATCGGAAAAAGATATTTTTTTTAAATTAACAATGTATAATTACGTTTTCTATATAAAGAGCATTCGATTCGAATTTTTTTAAGTTATTTTCAAAAATCTAAAATTGCAGCCACATTTGACTTTGTTTTTCATTTAATTTTTTAAAAATGATTTAATATTATTACATAATTATATTAATTATTAATATTATATATAAGCCTTTTTCTATATTATTCACTAAATAACTACATATACATATAATACGCGCTCGTGAAATTAATTATATGATAAAATCTACAAAACATAAAGTGTATAATATATATATTTATATATTGTATATAATTATTTTCTTAACTACATGTTTACTTAAAATTCTGAATATTTATATTCTTGCAAAAAAAAAAATAATATTGCATTTTAGATGTAAAATTTAAGCTAGCAATTTTGTTAGCCGGAAATTTTTTATGTGTGTTAATATCAATTTTTACAAAAACATTTAACAAAAACCAATTACTGCATATATATATATATATATATATATATATATATATATACATGTTTTAGATTAGAACGCAGTTTTGATATTCAAAATATTCAGAAATTTAAATTTAAATTTAAAAAAAAGAAATTATTGTAACATTTACACAAAAAATTTTAATTCTTCTCTCCTTCCCTATGCAGTTTTTAAATTTTTTGTTTGAAAAACCTTTTCCAATAAGATTTTTAAATTTTATAAATTTCAAAAACTGTTAAAGATTTTTGAAGATTTTACATAATTTTAATTATAAATTAATTAAAAATAAACAAAAAAAAAATAATAAAGATGAAAAATGAAAGTATAAATTTAGATCACAAACGTTTGTAACGAATCAGTTAAGTTAAAAAAACAAACAATAATTTGTTGAATTACAATCTCATGCGAATATAATTCGAATAAAATTCTCAATGTAAGTTTTTTTCTTTTATAATTTAAAAAAAATATAAAAACACAATTCATTTTATTAAAACGAAATGTATGCAAGTGTGTATATCTGTTCAATACACCCTTATATAATATATTATATATAAATATATATAAATGCATATATTTATATATAAATATATATGTAATAGGGTAAATTATAGGAAATTTAAAAATTTCTTGGTGTCAGGTTTAGTGAAAATGTATCTGGCGGAAGTGCAACGCAAGCTGGAAATGTTTGTATTTGATGAAAATTATTACTTGAAATATTATAAGATTGCATAATATTTGCAAGCATTATAAATCCAAATCCTTTAACCAAATTTTGTCCAATACATGTACGTTTTCCAATACTAAATGGTAAAAAATGTGGTATATTTTTTTTTAAACGTTTTATTTCAACTGTTTCTGTTGGTAATAATAAAGTTGAATTGATTTTTTTATTATATTTATCTGATACTGTTGTAAAATTTTGTGTATCATCCAATGTTAAATTTGTTTCTGATTCCATTCCAGAATCAATGTCTGATTCTGAATCTAAAGAACATAATGATGCCGTTGATGATGAAGCTGATGATATAAAATTCGTTTCTGTTATTTTTGTTGAAATGGATGATTTTTTCACATAAACTTTTTCAATAAATCGTTCAGGATTAAATTCATTTGGTTTATCCCAATATTGTTCACTTTTATTCAAAATAAAATTATTAATAAATACCAATGTGCCTTTTGTTACACCATAACCATTAATTGCAACATCTTCTGTAGCTACATGTGGTACAATTGGTGAAGATGAATCACGTAGTACTTCATATACAGTTGCAACTGTATAAGGCATATTTTCAGCATCTAATAATGTAACACAACGTTGTCCTTTTGTTACTTCATCAATTTCATTTTGAATATTTTTAGCAATATTTGGATTTTTTGCAATACTTGCTAATGCCATCATTACTAAATTTCCAATTGCCGAATGACCACCAATAAAATCCTCTAACATAAATATAATTGTATCACGTGAAACATCATTATTATCTTCAGATAAACTTTTTAATAAAGCATCAGTAAAATCTCTTTCAGGCTCATCACTATTTATATATTTTTCACGTTCATTTATAATGCGTTTTAAAATGAATTGACGAATTGTTGTTGACCAATTAATCATTTTGTTCATATGATTTGAATAGAATGGTAATAACCATGGTAAAAAATCTATTGCATAACCTTGATTTATTTCCCAAAATATTTCATCAAAGTATCTTACAATTGTTTGAAATTCTTTATCTTCATAGTTAAAACGAGTCGAGCACATATATTGTGTAAACATATTTGCACATGTTTGCATTATTAGTGGTTTTAAATGAAATTCTTTACCAGGTTCAATTTGATTTGATAATTTTTCCATAAATTCTTGCATTTCAAAACAGCCAACATCATTCATTTTATTAAAATATGATGACGTATTGCGCGGAGAACAATGTTTACGCGCTAAATTTCGACGTTTTTGTTGCAATTGTGACCAATCACATAAGGCTAAAGCTGTAATTCAAAAACAAAAATAAAAGTTTAAAATATAGATTAGAAAATGGTTATAATTACTTTCAACATTATTGGTAATTTCAAAATACTTTATAATAATTCACAAATTTCTTCTGATTTATATTGCTCTTTCTTTCTTTTTTTTTTTGAATTAAAAAGCTGTTTTGTAAAATTGCATTTTTTTGAATGAATTTTTTTTTATTGTTTATTATATTGAATTTCAACGGCAAGATATTATTGCCAAATAAAATCTCGAATATACAAAAAAAAAGTGAATACATATAGCTCGTGCTGGTAAGTGCTTTCCATGATAAAATTGCAAACTCTCAATGAAATTTGATAATGTTTTGTAAAAATTTTAAAATTTGCTTTAAATAAAGCACTTATTTTATTGTGTTTAATTGAAGTACGAATATTGATTAAAGTAAAAATTGCATTATCAGACATTTACTCAACAAAATCAATTTATTTTAAGTTAAATAAAAAAAATTGTGTATACTTGTATGTAAGAATATTGAACGTTCTTAAAAATATTTTAAAAATAACAAAAACGTGAACATTATGTAAAAATTATCTGAGGCACTCAAAAATTTTTTTAAAATTGAATTCTTATATTGAAATTATGTTTTAGAAACTTGCACAAATTTAAAAATAATTTTTATTTTTTTTTATGCCCAACTTTCTTACTGAATAAAATTAAATTTTACTTACAATTATTTCGATCTCCACCAAATAATTTGTGATAACGTATAAAATCGGGACGTCCACCAAAGAATTTTCCATTTTGATTCAATACTTCACGTATAGATTCTAAACTATTTACAACTAGACAACGTGTTGTACCCAACGTTAATGTATAAACATCACCAAATTTTTTTGCCAATTCAGTAAATCCTTCAAATGGTACTTTATATTTTCCCAATAATGCTAAATTACCTAAAATCGGCCATGGTAATGGTCCTGGAGCTTGTTTTAATTCAGCAATGTATAAATCATCTTCATTCATACTACCATTATTATTTTTATTATTATTATTTTTATTACTATTTTTATCATTATTATAAATGTTACTGTTAATTAAATCACTGTTATCATTATCATTATTTTTAAATTTTTTTAAATTGTTATTTTTTAATAATTTTTCTCGTAAATCATTTTTAATTTTTGATAATGGAATTATCACTTTAGCTTTACGAATACTTTCATAAACGATTTGTAAATAAGAATATATTGATAAAAGGATAATAGATCCTAGTAATATTTCACTGATTGTAATTGCCATTTTAATTTTTTTATTTTATATTATATTTAATTTATTTATTTTAAATAACTTAGAACAAGATTTTTTTTTTAATTTTAAAAATATGAATTATTTTTTTTTTTAACTAAATACGGTTTGAATTCAATAAGAAGCAATATTGAAATAATAATAAATATTTAATTTTATCCAGTTTTATTAATTTATTATGTTTCAGTTTTGAGACGTTGGAGTTGACTTTATTTATAATATTGAATGGGTTCTTATGATGGTTACCCAAAAATCTCAACTGAATCAAAAAGGTATTGGATCAGTTGCTTTTATACCAAAGTATATTCGAAGTTTGATTTTTATTTTTCATTTTTTTTTTTATTATTATTTTTATTTACTCTTTTATATATACATATAATGAAATACATAATAACGCCTAAATATATACTAGTGGTATAGTACGTTGTAGTACACACTGATGTTTTTTTTATTGTTATTTTTGTTATTTTTCCTTTTACCTTTCTTCCTTACGTTCTTATTCTTGTTCTTATTGTTGTTATTATTATTGTTTCTTTTTTTAACTATGGATATGTATGTGTCATATTAAATATTGAATTAATTTTCATTTTATGTATTTATACATATTTTCTTTTGCTTTTTTAATAAAAAAATTTTTATTGAAAAATTACCAAATTACGGTGGCAATATTGTAGAAAAGCGCCTTTCTATATATGTAATGAAAGTATATTGTGTTATATATGTGTATGTTTTTATATGATATAAATGAATTGTAATAATTGTTGGTACCTATAGGTAATATTCTACAATTCATTCTATGGTGTATGTATAGAAAAAATAGATAATTTTTTTTTAATATATGTACCTAATGTATGTGTAGAAGTGAGCGCACATTTATGGAGATCATGTGATTAAGAAAATATAAACTTGATTTAATTCAGTTTAATTTTTTTTAGATGAGTCTTAGAAGAATATAAAAAGAGAAGGGAGAATTTTCAGAACATATACTTACATATATATTCATATATAGTTATATTTATGTATTTATATGTGAAATTATATTTTTTTAAATAAACGTATACATATGAATGAACATTTGTTTAATGTATGTTCATATTAGATATTTTTTATTTTATATACATACCTATGCACATTTTGAGATATAATGTGTTTGTTTAATTCATTTGAAAGAAAAAACGGCAATTTCTTCTTTTTGCTTACTTTCTTTATAGACGAAATAGATTAAAGAAAATAGCCTAATAAATAAATCTATTAATAATAATTAAAAAAAATATAATTTATTTGAACTAATAATAAATTTGTTTAAGATTTATAAATTTTTGTTTTTCGTGTTCATATAACCTTGGATTTAAATACGTAATATATAATTGTAAATTTCTCTAACCATGTAAAATTCCCTACGGTTCCTTTTGATTATTTATAATTTTGTAATTAAAAAAAAATGAAAATTTAGAATTTTAAAAATATTTTGTTAGCAAAAGTATTTAATTTTCGAGTTCTGCTAGTAAATATAAACGCCTAGTATAAAAGCTTCTGAAATTTTTTAAAATTTATAGAAGTTTCATTGATCAATATAAAAATATATTATAAATTATCTACTATAGCTAATAACAATTAAAAACCTATAATAAATACAAATAAGTGCAAATATTAACATCTGCTTTTTTTCGGCAATAATTAGTGAAATATTATGAAACACTTAATAATATTATTAGAGATTAATTTCGAGAATTGCCGCTCAAGATTTCTTAGGAATTCCCAAATCCCAAGAAAAAAACACATAGATTTTACGGGAATTTGTATATGATTTTCTTTTTTAAATAAAACAATTTGTACGCCCTTTTTACATGTCACTTAAATAGGAACAGAATACAACTTCTGGCTTTGAGTCTGATATTACAGCTGTTAAAGATAAATAACAAAAAAATAAACAGATTGAAAAATTTTCCATAATTAACTGCTCATGCTGTTGAAAGCACTATTTCATGATAAAAAAAATTAAAAAAAAATTTTCGTGTATTTTTTTATTATATTATTAAATTTATTTAAAACAGCTCTATATTGGAAAATAAGAATAAATATTAATATTATAATATGTATTTAATAAGTATTAAATAAATACAATTATTTTAATGTTCACGAGAATTCTCGCGATCTGTGAAAAAAATTTCCCAAATTCCGGAAACGAAAAGATGACGGAAAAAATATATCTCTAAATATTATCTATGTATAATCTCGTTTTGGGTAAATTTTTAATTTTATTTTACTACCCTTGTACGAGTATTAATATCTACTTACATTAATTGTTTGCACTTCTTTAAGCTATTTACTTTTGTTTAGCAATTATCTTTCTTTTAATAAATAATTCAATAATGAGAAAAACAAATTGAAATTACATAATGTATATAGGTAGTATCAAATGAAGAATTAAATTATTTGATTTATATTATTTAATTAAATTAATATTTAACAATTTAGTAAATTCAAATTAATCTAAGAACAAGATTTTTTGTTGTACATATTATATAAAGAGATAATTATTTCACTGCAAAATTTCATTCCAATATTTGCGTATAGTTTATATAATTTATTTTATTTAATCGTCTAATAATTATCTAGTATCTTTTATTTTTTACATAAAAGCGCCATACGACATTAGATAACATTTTTTTAAAGAAAATTTTTAAAAATTTTCAAAATTGAAATTAACAGTTTTTAAAGTTTTTGGGATAAGTCATCAGTATCATCACTTGGAAACATGAAAAGAACAACAATAAAAAAAATCCCGTATATAAAATTTTATAGCTTTTCGAATGAAAATTAGATTTTTTTTTTTAAATTATGCAAAATATAAAAGACTGAATAGATAAATGAATGTAACGTGACAATATTTAAAATAAAAATTTCCAGTATTTAATCATATATGTATATATAAATGTATTAAAATATGAAAATGAAATATGAAGCTACAACCAAAATATAGAAAATTCAAATAAAATGCTTTCTTTTAGTATGCTATAAATCTATATGTATATATTTGAAATATATCAGCCAAGTTTCCGGTAATTTAGGAAGAAAGTCATATTCAATTTATTTGATTGGAATAGAATTAAACATAGATGTACGTATGGTAAATTAAGAAATGTTATATAGAATAAGTATAATGTTATATAGGCTAGTTTCGGATTTATATATTTAGCATATTTAGAAAATTTGGGATATTTAGAAAACAAACCTATTTCACACAAATTTTAAAAAATGAAAATTTACCAAAAATGTTACTAAAATTCCTTATTCCTATCATGATAAATAAATATTAATACATATATGATTCATAGCACAAGTTACAGAAATGCCTTTAACACAAAATGATCTAATTTCGGCCGTAGTCATAGCGTCTCAAATAATTTATTATAAATTTTATTAAATACGATAAATAATTTATAATTTAATATCGTTAATTACATTAGATTAGCGCATTTATTATATTATAGTAGTACTTTATTTATTTAATATAACGGTAGTAAATTATAGTAGTACTTCATTTATTAATTATGGAAAAAAAACCCACTTTTTTCAACACAAATTTTCTATTTCACATATAACTAAAACATTGAATATATTAATTTTAAATTTTAAAAATCATTTATGGAAATCAAACAATTTCAATTAAAAACCGCATTAATCGGAATTTATGTTGTCGGATAGAAAAATTAATATTCTATAAAGCAAATAACCTGTTAACCGAAGTTTTGGTTACTTTAAATCCAATCTGAGCAATATTTCATTTTTAATAGAAGTGAGCTTAGGTCACATTCAAAATAAATCATCCAAATATAGTTTTTTCATAGTAATAGTAATTTAAATATTACTATTATACTATAATTGTCATATAATACTAATTACTATTGTATTACATATATTAAAGTAGGCACTAGTTATTACTTCTGCATTCTAAATTGCAATGGGGCTGATCAAATTCATATATATATTTATAAAAATTATATATTTATTTTTTAATTTTTCTATATACTTTTAATTTATCTTTATTAAAAGTAAAATAATCTCTATAATCTTACGTAAATAGGATAAGAGAAAGATTTCATCATGCATTCTAATAAAATTTAAAATTAGAATTTAATTTAACACCAATTTAAATACATTTATACATATACATAAATTATTTTTACATATACTTAAGTGTACCTATATAATATACTTATACATATGTATAAGTATAATATTAGTTTTTGTCATCCTTTGCTAAATAGCTAAACGTATAACCCAAAATAAATAAGGAAATATATTATATACGTATATATTTATTTTCAGTAAAGATCGAGAACTGCTTATAAACCGCAATTATTTTAATTTTGCAGATATTCAAATACATATATGTATATATATATATATTCACCGATATATGTACATAATATGTGTACTCACGTGGATTTCCTTTATTTTGAATTATAAAATCTGTGCGGTAGCTAGAAACTTCTAAAAAAAATTATTTGAAAATGTACCGAAAACAAAATATTGAGTAATATATTGTACATATGTATGTATGTATGTATGTATGTATGGCCCATATATAAAAATATGTTTTAATGTATTTGTAATATATTTGTGATATTTAGAAAATAAAACCACTAATGCACATTTTTACTTTTCGAAGTGAATCTGTTGTTTGTGCAACAAATATAACAGTAAGTATAAGGTAGAAATACAAATAAAAAAAAAATTTAAACAGAACAAAAAAAAAATGAGAAAGAAAAAAAAGAAGAAAAAAAAAAGGCTGGCCTTTTAATTTAATTGAGAGAGTGCAGTTCCTTTTTTTAGTCTTGAATTTGATGTGGAAGTTGACAGTGGTGTGTATAAATGAAATAAACGAAATTAATTTTTCAATTCAGTTAATTTTATAGTGCTCGTATATGCATATTTTTATTTGAAAAAAAGATATTCAAGTAAAGTTTGTATGGTGCAAAATTTTCTTTCAAAACTTTTAGATATTTCGATTTTTGTTAATTTTTTTTTTCATATTTTCGAATTACGAAAATCCTTAACGGTAAGCTTAATGTATATATATATATATTTTATATATAATAGTATATAGAATCGGTGTAGTAGTAGTGGTATGTTCACATTTATGTAGTAGAATAATTTTTCATGAAAATTATAAGAGAACTGTTTTTTTTTTACATAATATTTTTTCATTAAAATGTTATTATAGGAATTTTTATTATAGATATGCATGTATGTGTTTATATAATGTATAAATATGTGAGTGTAAGGAAGCAACTGTAAAATTAACATTTCGCAATAATATTCTTTTGTGAACATATTCAAAATGTTTTAAATTTAAATATTTTATATAAGTGATTTAATTTGAATTTTTTCAAAGTGATTTTCATTATGAAATTTATTTGAAATTATTAAAATTTCATTTAACAAATTTAAATCTTGTTCTTTTAACAAAATTTTTATTTGAGTTTAAATATTTTTTAATTATGTATATGCATGGATGTATATAGATGTTATACTCGATAATGTAAAATGCGCTTTGAATTCTTATCCGATATTACATTTAACAAAGGGATTGCACTAAAAACTTTTAATGTTACCAATAGATTCTATGTTTTTAGCGCAACAGATAATAACAAAAAACAAATGTTACCCAATAAATAATGTCATTTTGGAATAAAAATATTTTATATTCGTTTTTTGTGAAAAATAGAACATTTCGAAGAAGATAAAAAATCTTATTTAATATAATTTAGTTCTAGAAATATTCAACTTAAAAATAATTTATTGCTAAAGGAGGTTTCTCAACTAGTTGCATGCAAAAGTTGTATACAAAAGTTGATATGCAAGAGTTTTGTTTTTGCATAAATTTTTGATTGTCGGCTGGTGACCGACTGATGCAAGTAAAATGCGTCGACCGGCATTTGACATTATCGAATATACAGCATTCATACAATTAAGATTTTTAATTTAAACGTATGTACATAAATATTAATGAAAATATTCATTATGTCATTATATAAATTATTATTTGAAGTTTCCTAATAAATTTTCAATATACTATGAATAGTATGTAAGAATTTAATGAAAATTAATCATGATCTTAAATAAAAAAAATATGCTGTCGTCGACCATTTTATGTACATGATATATAAAAATTTTATTTACTTTAATTGTTTTGTTTTATAACAAAAAAAATTTCTAGCACAGCATAATATTGATATATGGGTCAATTAGTGAATTTTTAATTGATTTTTGACCGAAAAAAAAGAGATTATCGCAGTTTATAAGTTGCGCAACCGATTTGTTTGTAAATTTTATTTTTGTTTTCAATTACGTATGTGTACATGTATTTCATATGTAACTATACTTATCTAATTTAAATCAATAATATATCTGTTAAGTATAACAATTCTTATTCGAGTGACGAGAAAACGCCCTTTTGAAATTTTTTACGTTGTTTACAAAATTTTAAATTTTAATAATTTTTAATTTCAATACGCAAAATCTTTTTATTTATATTTATATTTACGTATACATAAATAAATGTATGTTTTTTTTTTATTTTGCTAAAAATTAAGCATTTATTAAACTCTTCGAAAGTTCATTTTAGCGAAAATAAAGCGAAAAAATAAAGAAAATTACTAATACATTTTGTTTGAACCTACTAATTAATTGCTTAGGTTTGCACCTTTGAAAATTTAAATAAAAATATCCATATACATATGTAATTATATTTTATGTATGCACGTACATATATAAATTATGTATTCGCAGACAATCAAAAAATCTTGACCATGGTTTAAAAAATAATGAACAAGAAAATTTTATTCAGTAAATTTTTGTCTTGTTTGCAATATATTTTAAAATATATAAATAGAAGTTATTGGTTCTTAGCGCGATATTATCAATATAATGGCGCGATTTTGGTTCTTGTATACATAAACATATTATTATAAATAAATAATTTTTGTTTCTTATAATTTATAATTAAGAACTTTCGTATTTCTAAGTTTCTTACATAATATATTTAAATTAATGCATCTTTTAAGAAAAATCATGTGAATTAATTTTTTCATATGAAATTACCTCTGGCAAATTGAGTACACTAGTCCTTTACTCCAAAAATACCCATACTCTGGTAGAGAATTATACATAACTTCCTTTTTTTTTTTGCAAAAAATAGAAATTTTAATTTTAAACTATTACGTGAAACAATTTTTAAACACAAATTGTTCGATGATAGTATTGAATTTATTTGATTTCATCAAATAGCTATGTAGTTCTAAAGCAAATTGTTATAGTGTCCAAATGAACTGCGGTCAAAAGCACGTACCTACTTGTTATTTTAACATTTAAATTTTAAAATTAATGTGATATGCATTTGCAATAAAATGGAATATAAAAAATGTAATCAGTCAAAGCGTGATGTAAAATGTGCTATTTTACAAATCTACTTCTATTTTACAATAGTTATTCCTTTATATATAAATTTAGATCTGAAGTTATCAATTATACAGTTTTTCTAAAAAAAAAATTGTTCAGGAGGGGAAAGGGTAAATTTGAATATCCAGGGGTCGTTTTGAAGGGTTAAAAATATCAAATATTGAGAAAAAATTGAGAAATGTTAATTATCTTAAAAAAAATTTGTTTATTTTTTTTTTATAATTTTTTCAATGCGAAATATCCTTCCTTTCAATTTGGTCTTACGTATATTTTATGTAACATGTACATTTAACCATATAAAAGTAAAATTTAGACAGATCTGAGTCGCCATTAACAATTTCAAAAATTAGTGAAAGTTATGAATTGTTTTTATAGTTTTTTGTGACGGAAAAGTAAGTAAATGCTCACTTTTCAGAGTTTGCAGAATTTACAATTTGTTTTTGGTTCGAACACAGTAGTTAGTCAAAAGATACGAATTTTCAAGAAGGGCCATATTTTGGAAAGAGAGGATATAAAAAATATATTCTATAGAAAAATAATATTTTCATAAAATCTATTTGTGTACAAAATATAGTCATTCGATATTGAACTGAAAAAACTTTATCAACCATGTTGATGAAGAGTCTTTATCAACAAACAAACAAGCAGACAGAGTGAAACAAATTAGAGGTTAGGTTTTTATGTTCAAGCCACAAAACTGAAAGGCTGACTATTTTCTCGTTAGGATAAAATTATTAACTTATACTGCTATTATTATTACTGATTAATTATGCAATAATACATATATATGACATTTATACATACAATGTATTTATAATATTTATAAATGTAATAAATGTATGTATAATATATATGTTACAATGCGCTATGTATTATTATTATTTACAAAATAAACGAAAAAACATGCAATCTTGCAAATAAGATTTTGTTACATTTAGAATAAATTATGAAACTATTCCAAATTGTTAATGATTAATAGGCCATCTTTTAAGCGTTAAGTGTTTAAATATCATAAATAAAAGTACATAAAAATCACAAATTTGGATGTAATTTTTATTTGTTGATCGATTATTACATGTTGTTTAAAATATTGCTTAACGTTTTAAATATCGTTTTATGGAGGATTCTTTTGTTATTTATAAATTATTGACACTGTTCAATATTATGTTTCAATAATAGATTTAATTCTCAATTTATTCATTCATTCTGAAGTTATTATATGACCTTAAAACGTTGTTTTAATTAAATGTAATTATGTACAATTTTTAATTAAAAAAAAATTAATATGATTAACAAACTTTAATAAAAATTTACTAAAATAAAAATATTTAGAAAAATATTTTAATTAGTAAACAATTTTTTTCATTTTATTTTTCATTTTACGGTAGGCTCATCACCTACCTCGTATATTCAATGAAGCAAGAAACTGATTCATAATTATCTACGATATCATGCACTAGCCCTGTGGTGCTCTCAGGAGCGAAGTAGGATAAAAAAACAAAATTTTTTCATGCACTTCATATTTTACTGAATTAAGTTAATTGTTAAACTATAAAAAAATAAATATTATGCTTATGCGCACTTCCAGACCACATATTTTCTGTTATCCTGCTCTTCATCCCTTAAGATTAATAATAGATGATAAGAGAAGGTCTTTTTTTCCAAATAAATCTTTTAACCAGCTAAAATTAATACAAATTTAACACGTGCCTTAATTTAATTTTTTATGTATGAATTTCATTTGTTGGGTGAATAAAAACAAAAAAATTGAGCATTATCTCTAAGTATAATATATTTTTATTTATATTAATATATCAAGTGAATTTTTTTGAAGTTTTTTACATTTTTTACATATTTATTTACCTTATACCTTACAATCTATATACACCATATCTATGCTGTTCTGTTTTTTTCTTATTTGTAATAAAAGTGTTCTGTAGAAATATACATATCACTATTTGTTTTTATTCTTAAATCATAGGAACGATAAAAATCTTTATTTAAAATAATTTTAAGACACAAAAAAAAAAAGATATAAAATTTTTTTTAGTTAAAATTTTTTTTTTGTTTTTTATATTTTATTTATTTATTTATTTACTTTTTTTTTCTTAACAAAATTAAAAATTCAGACTAAATAATTCATGAAGTACAAGATGTTTTTAGTATTCATTGAAAACGAATTCCGGAAATATGTATGTATGTATACTATATACACGATACACGTAGATATTGTTGCTTTCCTTAAGGATTTTAATAATTTTTTTTTAAGAAAAAAAAATAAGAAAATCATTTACAAAAAAAATAACTTATTTTTATTGCGTAATTAAATTGAATAGATAACAAATTTTGAAAATAAAAGTGAAGAAAATTATAATTTATAATTATTATAAAAAATAATTTCGAAATATAATAATAAAAACATTGTTATATTCAAATTATAATAATTTTAATAAATGCATAAATTTTAAATTAATTGCAAAATATAAAATAACTGTATTTAAAATTAAAGTAAAATAAATAATTTTTTTTAGCATGTTTAAAATAACTACGGTTTAAAATTCGTTTCTTCAACTGTAAAACTAAAAACTTATCTTAATGTTATTATGTTTGACTAAAGGTACGTTAAACCTTAAAAATTTAACTGATGTGTTGTTTCGGCCTGACAACGTCTTTTGTTTTACATATTTTATTTACTGTTTACTAGAAATAATTTATTTATAATTCTAAATAAAACTAAAGAATTAATAATTATATTTGATATGGGAGTTTCATTATAAATAATTATATAATTTTTTCAAAGATAACAACGTTCATTGGCTGTATAAAAAATGGCATTTGAGATCTTTGTATAGAAATAAATATAAAATATTTAAATCAACAATATTAGATTCTTTAAGATATAATGATCATCATTATATATAACTTTAGTGCAAGAGCCACTTTTCAGATGAAAATTTCAATAATCGTCCAAACAGGGCAAAATTGTATATTTTACTGCAAATGCATATAGCGGTTATTATTATAACTAAAATAATATCGTAATATCAGATTCTCGTATTATCCCTACTAATACCGCTACCTGTGCTTAATTCTACTTACATATAAAAGCAATATGCTTCCTTTTTCTCCTTCTCATTAATTAGTACAACGTGTAGTGTAATGTGCAGTGTATAGTAATTCTAATATAATAAAAAATGACCCTTATTATGAAAAAAATATATCGTACGATACACGATATTTCTAATAGAATTGAAATAAGAAATATCGTGTATCGTACGATATATTTTTTTCATAATAAGGGCCAATATAATTAATCTTATAACAACAAATTTTAATATAAACAAATTTGTAATATAAAAATTATAATTAAATTATTAATTTAAATAAAATGATTTAACATTAATAAAAGTGTTATTTATAAATCACATGGTGGTATAATCATCTACTTATAACCACCATATGTATTGTACTTCGTAAACTTTTCTCTTCAAACTCCCATTTGAATTGATCTTACTCCACACCACGAAATTTAGCGCAATAAATAAATTGTGGCCATTCTATAACGTTATTTTGCTATAAAATAACCACTATTAACATAAATGCGCGAATCAGCAAATAATTTTCAAAATACCCGTGAACAATTTTTTTGCGTTACAAAACCATTTTCCTATTTATGATAATTTGTCAAAGAGTACCTTACAATTATATAAAAAAGCGAAGCACAGGTTATTAACTCTTTCATAAGTTCTAAATTAATTCATCTAAACTAGTTTTTTTCAGCATTAAAATTGAATGCGAAATTGCTTGACAATATTGTTTCTAATAAGTAATAAATTTACAGGAACCTTCTTCGAAAATCATTTTATTTAAAGATTCTTATTTTTGGTGACTATTTCCTAATTAAAATTATATGTAACACCAAAAACTTAATTATGTATTCAAAATTTTCAATGTCATTTAATTTTTTTTTTTTAGAAGAATGAAGAATGATAACAGTAAAAAAAAACTCGTGTTTCAAATTTCTTAAAACTCGTGTTTTTAATATTTGTAAATAAAGTGTTTTAAAAATATTTATTATTAAATAAAGCCATATGGTGAAATAAGAAGCTTCCAACGTGCTGTTTTACAAACTCTACATACCCATGTAATTTTTATTTACTTTGTTTTCTTTGTTTTTTTTTTGTGTTTTTAAATTTGTTATTGTAAATAATATTCGAAATCAAATAATTCAGGTCGAATATCATTGTTTATATTATGCGATTTGAAAATCAGTCACCGATAGCATTTCCTTTAAAATTTTTTGTATATCTTTTTATTTTTTTAAATATAAATATACACTTTTTTTAATTATTCAAAAGTAAATTTGCATAATGTTGTCATTAAAACAATTTTAACTAATGCATCCTTATATAACTATGCAATTGATAAGCATGTAGCACGAGATTCTTTCCAATGGAACATTTTATTAAAAATTTGTGGTTTTTTTATTTTTTTTTCTTATAATAAAAACCGGTTTCAAATTAAATTCTTGAATGAAATTAAAAAAAATTGAAGTATAGATTTAGCTCTAGGATACTCGTGCGAAAATTTGTTGCTTTAATCATAAAAATATAAAGATAGCATGGTAAAATATAGTTACACGATTGTAGATATAACTGGAAAATTTGCAGCAAAAAGTCTTCACTGCATTGAACCATTTATTTATGTAAAATCATAAATGATTTTAATTTAATTTGGAGTACTTTAGTCTAAATAAACATAACTCATGTTTATACTTAAAATTTACATATTCCTCTACATCATAAATGAAGAACTTAATTTAATATAATTTTGAGAGTCACAATATTTAAAAGTAACATAAAAGAAAAAGAAATGTTGAATTGAACCACAAATCATTTAAATTTTTTTTATGATTGTCATGGAACCATCCACAGAATTGTATCATAATTACAAAATGCAATATTACCATTATTTAACATACTGA